AACCATGATTCATAAATTTGCTTTCTTGTTCTCCCCTCCCTGGCCTCGGAAGTGAAGTGACATTCCACGGTGTATCACGGCAAGGGCAAGCCGACCAACACTCTCCGCTGCCTACGCCTAGGAATCGCAAGCAGGCTTTCTTGGAAAAGAGCTCCCTGGCCATGTCTCACTGAGTCAGAAAGGCAAGCAGCTCAGCGAGAGGTGTGCCCACCCCTGCACACGATAGCATTGCTAGGCAAGAGCTCATGCAAAACTGGATTCCTGAGCCAGTGAGATGGCTCAGTGGTCAAGGATGCTTGCCCACAATCCTGATGACCTGAGTTCGATCCCTGGGACCCACACGGTGCAAGGAAGGAAAGAACCATCTCCTGAAGGTTGTCTTCTGACTTCCATACATGCGCTGTGACAGTTCAAACGATTTTCACACAGTCTGAAGAGCTAGCTCGGTGGTTAAGCGTGCCTGAAGCCAAATCTAATGCGGTCAATCCCCAGGATCCATATGGTGGGAGGAGAGCACTGCCTCCTGCAAGTTATCATGTGACTTCCACGTGTGCACCTAGTACTACAGGGGCACACGCACACTCAAAATATAAAAGATTTCTTTTTTTCAAAAATTTGAATTCCTGGGTTTTTCCTCCAGAAGATGAGATTGGTGATTCTAAAGCCAGCGATGATCTAAGACCCAGAATTTGAGAGGTATGAACTGAGGGGTGAGAAGGGCACCTTTAGAACCGGACAGATCCAAGTCCAGTTAGGGTTGGGGTGACTCCAGAGCCACTCCTTTAACCAGACAGTCTTGGGAGGAATTCATGAGCTCCCTCGATCTCTGTCTCTCAGCCACGAAGTACAAAATGACTGCACTTCCCTCACAGGGCCGTGAGAACACTTACATAAAATCACGGGTATAAAGTCCCGAGAAGGCACGTTGGCATAGCACGTGCCACCGGTGTGCACAAAGAAAAACTCAAGATCCCTACAGATGGAAACCCTCGCTGGGGTCCCGCCTGGTGGACAGCCCTCGGAGGGGCTGGGGTAGCTAATATTCTCCTTCTTAAATAATTTGGAGCAGCATGGACAAGGCCAGCTTGCCAGGTCTCTGCCTGCGGCTGACAGGTGCCACTGTGTATCTCTTTATCTGGCTTGCTTGTCCGAAACTGGCATTTCCGGGTGCAGTTCCTGGAAGAACGCACTGAAGGACATCCTATACAACCTTCCAGAAAAGCGAGCTTCCTTCCTAAATATAAATACCTATCCGTGGCCACGGATACCCATAGAATACTAGTTTCCTAAAAGCAGAGAGAAGCCAGGCTTCAGTGGCTCCCAGAACTGTGGCCGGACTGAGGTGGCTGGAAGTGTGAGGACAGGAACATTCCAGCAAGCCACTGTCCAAAGGCTGGGGAAAGACAGGCTTCAGCTTCCACAGGGTTCCTACCAAAAGCCCTATGCTGACCAGACCCAGCAGCTAACGTTCCTTGTCCCAACTCTACCAACTCAGGCACACAGTATCTCTGACCTTTCCCCCACCTTCTCTTTAATCCCACACTGGAGAGGGGGCCCGGGCTGCAGAGAGATCTGTGTCCCAGTGGGAAGGTTACGCAACAGCCTGATAGGGTCAGATTACAGACAAGCAAGGTCTCTTAGAAGTGCGGATGATGCCAAGTTAGCAGAATGTTTTCTCATCACCAAGGGAGAGGAAGGAACACTTCTGTTCTTCAAATAAAACAAGGGAAGATTTTCCAGACAGAGGAGCAGTCAGATGGGTGGGGGGGGGGGGGGGGGGGGCAGACAAGGTGTAGATTCTGATGCTGGTGCGAGCCAGGTCCAGAGTGGGGAAAGAGATATGATAGGCTGGCAGTCAGGATTCTTGCACAGGCAGGTGCCGGAGTCTGGGAACTGGCAGTAAGGTAAGCCTGATTTGTACTGCACACGCGCATGCGCGCGCGCACACACAGACACACACACACACACACGCACACACACACACACACACACACACACACACATCCCTGTTCAGTTTCCCCTCGTCCCAAGATGGCAGGAACCACGCCAAGTAGAGCATCCTCACTCTATCACAGGGCAAAAAGATGACTCCAGGAGACGCTGCCTCATCCCATTAGCTGAGCTGGCCGGACTAGCCAAGAGAGGAAAGGGAAGATGAGAGGGGGGCCCTGGGAACAGGGGAAGAGAGCACGTGGCTTGACGTAGCAAGCTGGCTCGGGGAGAAGGAAGCAGGCCTCCCAGGACTGTTTGTCCTACTCCGTCGCGAAAACATTGTCTTTTCTCTATTGTGGGCTCTTGAGAGTGGCCTTACAGGTCTGTGTGGGTTTCCTAGGAAACCTAGATCAGGAGGAACAGGTGGTCCAAAGCGATTCAACCCTCATCACTCACAGACCTCGCTCCCTTCCAGCTGCAGGAAGGCTTACGCCTGGCTTCCCAGAGTCAGTTCCCTGCAGCGTTCCAGGAAGCGAGGAAGAGGAAGCTGTGGAATCCTGGACAGAAAGCTGACAGGAGTATGGGGGAGGGAGCAGTCACTTTTACAGGGTTTCCCAAAAAAGTTTACTTTGAGACCTCTGGAAACAAGAGAGTGGCACTCAGCCACCACCCCACCACCAGTTCAAGTTTTATGCCCAGGGATACCGCAGCAAGTCACCAAAGTTATCAGAAAGTCTTGCCCAAAGCCGCGTAACAGCCCCAGCCCTGAGCAATTTCCCAAGACAAGAGCTCAGGACACTCTGAAGTCAGCCATGGGTTATCTGTCTGGCACTTTTGTAAGAAAGTCCTTCCCAGGACTTGTTCCAGCCTAAACCTAGTTCTTCCCTCAGAGAAGGATGCCCAGGTGGTTGTTGCTATGAATAAAGAAACTGAGCCTCAAGAGGGTTAGTGGTAGAAGTCACATGCGCCAGGCTGGGTGTCTATTAAACGACTCCATGTGACCCTACTCATCCTGTAAAGAAGAGGGTTTATCACCTTCCAACACAGAAAGGCTAAGTTTCCAGCCCCTATTACATAGCTGAGTTGCAATTCAAGCCCAAGCGAAGTTTCCAAGACCATAGGCCTTTTTATCTTCCCATCCCTCCTCCCACTGATGTAGAACAATTCAGATGGTCACGGGGTGGGGGCGGGGGCTAATGTGATGTTTACCTTGACAACCACAGGGTTCAGAGAAACAACACAGGATTTTCCAGACAGTTAAGCAATGATCAGGTTTTGAAAGGTGGGGGCAGCTACAATCACATGAGCTGCGTGGTAAAAGGCCAGATCATCTGACCCCCGCCCATCACCAGCTGACCTGGGGCAAAGCCTCCATGTCCTACTAGGAAGTGAGTAGGAACACAGACTTCAAGTTCTCTTCCAATTCTGGTATTCGTTGAATGTTGAAGATCCTGATTCTGCTTCTCTTGTGAACGATGCTTGGCTTACTGAATAGGCTAACACAAGCCTATTCATCGGGCCAAAGCAGGAGGAACCTGAGAGTTCAAGATCAGCTGGGCATTCTCAGAAAACACACACACACACACACACACACACACACACACACACACACACACAGGAGGAGTACACACTTGCTGCTAGGAACCATCTTCTTGTAAGTCGCACAGTTAACAATCCAGGGAACCAAGGCATTTTTTTTCATGTTGTGGTTATTATTGTTGTTGTTATTTGTTTTGGCTTTTTGAGACTGTCTGCCTACATATCCCAGGCTGACTCTGAACTCACTACGGAGCCCAGCTTGGTCTCCACCTGGTAGCAATCCTTCTGCTTCAGTCTCCTGAGTCCTGAAATGAAAAACCATTGCACCACCATGCCCAACTCGGGGAGCCACAGGTCCAGAGAAAGAAGCAACAGATTTGGGCATCATAGACAACAATATTCTAGGCTGGTGGTTCTCAAAGTGACCAGTGATATCAGCATTGTCCTGGAGTGCCACAAGAATGCAAGGCCACCATCATCAGGTGATGACCTCTTGAGTAGAAACTTCATTTCCGCAAGATCCCCAGAGGCTCTCGTTGTGGCTACACAACCCAGCCTGAGAAGTGATGTTATAAACCACGATTCCTTCAGATCAGAGGTCTTGTTTGTCTTTGTATCCCTGGGGAAAAAGTACTGCTCCTGGCATACAATAGATGCTCAACAAATAGGAAGAACAGGAAACAGCAGGTACTCGACAAGTGCTCAGACAAGGAAGGAAGGGTAGGTCTGGGCTTGTTTTTAATGTTGTTTTGAGACAGTGTCTCACCTAGCCCATCTGGCCTAGAACTTACTATATAGACAAGGGTGAGCATGATCTTCCGATCCCCCTGCCTCCACTTCTGAGTGCTGAGAGTACAGGCATCTGCCACCACACTTGGTTTATGTGATGCTGGGGACTGAAGAAAGGACCAAGCACCCTACTGACTGAGCTACACACTAGGTGAGCATTCTATTGCAGGAGGCCAGGCATAGTGGCAAACACCTTTCACCCCAGTACTCCAGAAGCAGAAGCAGGAGAATCTCTGTGAATTCAAGGCCTGCCAGGGCTACAGAGTGAGTTCTAAGCCAGCCAGGGCTACAGTGTGAGACCATGTCAAACAAAACAACAGCAACGACAAACCCCAGCCTTCCAGAGCTGTGCACTAAGTAGTTCTTGAATGGATGATGTGAAGTAATCGTTGAAAGGGGAGGGATGGAGAAGAGAAGAAAATGGACAGAGGAAGAAAACACAGGCAATCGAATGAAGGCAAAGCATATTGACAGGACAGTTTATGGACTGGTTTCTCAGGACAAAGGCTGGTCCTTTTAGGGACAGAAAGAGACGGCCTATTAATGAACACACAGTTTCTCTCCATCCCAATGTGTTTCTTCTCTGAGTTGGTGACTGGTGAGCCACTATGTCCCTGGTTCACAACAGTGTCCTGAAAGCCAGGATGCAAGACAGTTGTCCCCAAGACAAAACCCCACACCCAGGCAGCACTCAGCTTCCCAAGAGAGACATGACCCCACTGAATGAGCTTCTCTAATACCTTGATGGGTTTGCCACAGTCCGAAGAAGGGACCCACGCTGCCTGCCAGCTCACACTTCTGAGCCCATGGGCCATTGTCTCCTAGAAACCAGAAAAAGGAACGGGAGACGGTCAGTGGGTCTCTGGGGACACTTTTTCTGAACCCCTCTGTGGTCAGAAACCTGTGAACAGCAGGGATCAGACAGAAAGACAAACATGATCACTCAGACTGAAAAGCAAATTTGATTGCTATATTCGAAATGTTTCTTGTCGGCATGGATGTCAGTGTATGGCGACCCCTACCCTGTATAGCCACGGACCCACTTCCTATGCTTCCCAAATGTGGGGCTTGCATATTGCCACTCAGCTACAACTGTTTCGGTGATCCCATCTCTACTAGGCTCAAAGAGAATGGGGGGCTTGTTCTGACCCATGAGCTCCATCCTTAACCTCTGCTCCCACATCGCACTTTGGTGGGATTAGCAACCCATTCCTGCTGTCATTGATGTCAGCCCAAACACTGTCCTTGATGCACCTCCACATACACCGTCTTTTAACCTTACAATATACAGTGGAGTAGATTCAATTCTCCCATTAACACATACTGAAAACCTGGTTTCGACTTGATCCAAAGTAGGTGCCGCTCCTCTACATAGAGACCTGAGACATAAAATATCTGTGTAACAACCTCCCATATACATACACTTTTGGATTTTTCTGAGACACAATCTTGTGGTATATACCCCAGACTATGCTCAGATTCACTCTACAGCCCACCCTGGCCTTGAGCTGGAGAGCTTCTTGCCTGTAGACTCTAAAGTGCTAGAATTCTAAAATGAGCTGTGCATTGGCATGCCTGGCTATGTGTTAGCCCTTTAAAGGGATCATTAATTTAGTTCTGGAGCCTGACTAAAGATATGATTGGCAGTAACCACTCTCATTGGGACCACAGAGGAGATGGCCAAGGACTAACCAAGCTCACAATGGGAAATCACTCTAACAAGGATGAATAGTCTACAGGCACTAGTCAACATCTATGGGGCCAGCAAAGCACACGCTCCGTCAGTACAAATCCTTTTCCATGACTCAGTCATGGAGAACTCAATAGACAACATACTCAGCATTCAGGGCCCCAAGTTCAAAGCGAGCCCCTCCCTCCCTGTTAAAGCTATCACATGACTGGACTCTGCTCTCCACGGCGCCTGTGCAGTTATTCACTAGACCCCAGCCGGTTCAGGTAGCATTTCTACTTTACCTGTAAACCAGAGGAGCGTGTTTTCTTTGGCCACATGGTCAACTTTGTCCTTGATCTGCCCTATCAGACTGTCCATCTCCCGGAGACTTGCATGATACGCCCTTTGATTCCGTGGGTTTTCCAATGGTGGAGTCACAGACAAAGGCACATGCATGTGGGCCAGGCCCACATAAAGCAGGAAGGGTCTTCCATGGGTGCTGGAAAAAAACGGGAAACCTCAGAGGCTCTGCAGGAGGCTGCTCTTGTCTAGGGTCTCAACAGGTTTTTTTTTTTTTTGACTCTGTAAAAGGGTCATTTGCTCCTTTGTAAAGGGGTCATGACCTATAGGTTGAGAACCACTGTTCTAGAAGATATAACCACAAGGAATTTCTTGATATGTGTGACCACAGGGGCCATTTAATTACTACTGCTATGATGAAACACCATGACCAAAAGCAAGTTGGGGAGGAAAAGGTTTATTTGACTTACACTTCTACATCACTGTTCATCACTGGAGGAAGTCAGGGCAGGAACTGAAGCAGGGCAGAAACCTGGAGGCAGGAGCTGATGCAGAGGCCATGGACAGATGCTGCTTACTGTCTTGCTCTTCATGGCTTGCTCAGCCTGCTTTCTTTCTTTCTTTCTTTATTTTCATTTTATTTTCATTGGTGTTTTGTCTGCATGTCTGTGTGAGGGTGTGAGATCTTGGAGTTACAGACAGTTGTTAGCTGCCATGTGGATGCTGGGAATTGAACCCAGGTCCTCTGGAAGAGCAGTCAGTGCTCTTAGCCACTGAGCCATCTCTCCAGCCCCCAGTCTGCTTTCTTACAGTGCCCAGGCCCACCAGGCAGAGATGGTACCATCCACAATGGCCTGGGTTCTCCTCCATCAATCACTAATTAAGAAAATGCCCTCAAGGTTTGTCTACAGCTTGATCTTGTGGGGGAATTTTCTTAATTGAGGTTCCCTCCTCTCAGATGATTTTCAGCTTGTGTCAAGCTGACATAAAATTATCCATCACAGATGTGAGCAAATCCAGGGGGCTTTTCTGTTCCAGTGAGAAAGTCATGGCTGAATCGGCAAGTCAAATCTTAAAGAAACCTGCATGCCCTATGATTAACCCTTCTGTGAAGTTAAAATGTCAACAGACTCAACACCTCTCACTTTGAAAAATTGGCCAACTCTTATTTTCTTTGTTTGCTATGGAAAAAAAAACATTAATTGATTTGTCTCTTAATGAGTCCCTTAACTGATGGGTGTCAGGCTCCACCGCCCCTGCAGAGCAAGAATTACACAGTCCCCAGCCCCAGCCAGCTGCCATCCCTCTCGTCAGAAGGCTGAAACTGTAAAACAACAGGAAACGGCCCTCACCAATTATGAACTATCTGCCTGTCACAGGGCAAAGGGAACTAGGGCCGTTTCACAGCTGCAGGAAGCTGGGAGATGCTCAGCCTTCCGGATCAGAAACGTTCCACCTATACCAGCAATCTGAGACCACTGACAGCGTTTCTCAGAGAAGTCTGGGGACTCATTCAGATAGAACCCCTAACCTCCTGGGATGCTACTCTGAAATTTGGGCTTGAAGTAATGGCCTGTGTTATGAAGAGCACACACACACACACACACACACACACACATACACACAGAAGACTGAGGAGACCTCACTACTACTTCTGCCCTCCTTGATGCTGTCTCTAGGAAAGCCCAACACAGCTGAGCAAGGACTGCAGGATCTCGCACGGTCAGGAGTTGGTCTGCTTAGCCATCCACAGAAGAAGCCATTTTAATTCTGCACGATCAGGCTTGTCTCTTCCGGAGACTGGAAAGATCTGATACCGGAGGCTCACGTTCCAGGCTGACCCATCATCAATGGCTGGAGCTAAGTAGCTACTGTTTACAAGAGATGGGGTATGTTTGCCCCATGCTCAGCCTGATTTCTTTGAATTCTGTATTATGCATGTGGGTGCTTTGCCTGCATGTATGTCTCTGCACTCCACATATGTGCAGTGCCCTTGGGTGCCAGAAGAATAAGATCTCCTGGGACTGGAGCTACAGGTGGTTGTGAGATAGCATGTGGGTGTTGGGAATTGAACCTGGATCCTCTGGAAGGGCAGTCAATACTCTTAACCACTGAGCTGACTCTTCAGACCTGCTTTGTGGGCCCTATAGATGTGCCTATTTGGAACCCTGGATAACAACCCCCAAACATACCTTAAGCCTAGTCCCTGGAAATGGAGAACTTTACCTTCCATGGCAAAGGGGACTTTACAGGTATAATTATGTTAAAGATCTTGAGATGAGATCATCTTGAGAGTTCCTGGTTAATTTTTGTTTGTTTGTTTGTTTGTTTGTTTGTTTTGTGAGCCATGAATTCTGCCTCCTGAATTCCTGAGTGCTGAACTGTGTTACCACATCTGGTTCCTGATTGAGATTGACTATTAATCTCTAGTATCTTTTTTAAAAAGGCTGGGTATGGTGACACATTCCAGCATTTGGGAGATCAGAAATTCAAGGACATTCTCAGTTGCACAACAAGCTAGAGGCCAGCCTGGGCTACGTGAGACTGTCTAAAAGAGGAAGGGTAAGAGCATTTGACTACACATAGAAATAACAAGGGATCAATAGAAGTAGAGATTAGAATGATATGGCCATAAATCAAGGAAAGCCACAGCCATTAGAAGCTAAAAGAAAATCAGGTAGTAATAGCACACACCTTTAATCCCAGCTCTCAGGTGGCAGAGGCAGATGGATCTCTGAGCTCAAAGACAGCCTGGTCTATAGAATGAGTTCCAGAACAGCCAGGGCTTCACAGAGAAACCCCATCTCAAAAACCAAACAAACAATTAATTTTGGAGACTCCAAAAATAATGAGCCCTGTTCACACTTTGATGCTAGCCCTCTTAGGTTGAAGACTGGCTTCAAACATCTCGCATCCAGACCTGAGGAGAACTTACTATGGTTACAGTTGGTTTTAGCCACCACTTTGGTGGTCATTTGTTACAGCAGCGGAAAGGAACTCATACTGCCTGCTAGCTAATGAATTCAACAAATACCCTGAGTAAGTACCCTGAATGTAGTGGGTAGGCCCTACCCTCCAGGAATTTACACTCTAATAGGAGGAGAAGAAAAATGCCCACAACCATTGTGCTAATCAAGGCAGGGCAGCCAAAGACTGCAGGGAGGCTGAGAATGTACTTGAGGGACTTCTAACCCAGGACCAGAGAGTTCATTAGGAACACACGTTGCTAGGATATAGGAGATGTGCATGTGTGAAACCCTGCTTTGGCCTTGACAGGCCCGGGGTGGGAGGACTTGGCATGTGTGGAAGAGGGGAGAGAGCAGGGCACTTGGCCTTACCTTGCCTGTTCAATGAACTCCACTGCCTTTTCCGCATACTTGCGTGCAAGGCCGCTCAGATTCACAGGCTGCTCCACGATGTTGAGGTTTTCATAGAGAGGAAGGGCCACGTCTGTGTAACAGTCCCTCTCGGGGCTCCTGTGTGGGAAACACAGGGAGAGGGGCATTCATTTCCACATCCTAAACAATCACAGAAAACTTCCCTGCAGCGATACACATAGATAAAAACACTCAACAGCTGATCCCAAGGGACTGAACAGCTCAGTCGTGGCTCTTCCCTTCCCTTTGAATAGATGTCTATGCTCCTTGGATGAGCCCGCCACCCTGTAAAACTTGACGAGATGCTTATGAGCCTGGGACACTAGTTCCCATTTCGCAGAGAGACACACTGAGGTCTGAACAGGTGAATCCCGTAGCCCACCAGAACTTCTGCTGCTGGCTTTCTCCACTGTCCACCCTCAGTGACTGTGTGTATGGTGGGCAACACTGGGTTCTGTGGGTACTGCCCTAAGTCGGTGACCAGGATTTCATGGGGGAGGCGGGGAATCTGATAATACGGCAGAATGTATAAGATGGCCTAGGGTGTTTTCAAATTCCACCGTAGGTCCTAAGGCTGATGTGAGTCTGACAGACTGCTGCCTCCTGGCTGCACAGCTCCCCTGGCCATGGACTTGAGTGAGCAATCTTTAGTCCTGGAGACTTGTCCATCACGGGGTCACTGTGCCCCTGGATGGCAAATGGCAGCTCTTGGCCCTGCTCATCACCAAGAAGTAGGTGAAAGGACAAGAGTCATGCAGCATCACACATGTCCTCCCAAGGACAATTACAGAAGGGCTGGGGTAATTTGAAACTCTACTACACCTACATGAATGTAATACCTGCTGAAGAAGTCTAGAGGTAATGTCAAACTGAGTAAATCATTGCCATTTTGTTTTTTAAAGATGGTTCAGCAGTTAAGAACACTGCTCTTACAGAGGACCCAAGTTCAGTTCCCAACACCCACATGAGGTGGCTCAAAACCACCTGTAGTTCCAGCTCCAGGAGTCTGACACCTGCTTCTGGTCTCTGTGGGCACCTGCTCCCGCGTGCACAAACCAACACACAGATGCACACACACAAACATAAAAATAAAATAAATCATTACAAAAATAAAGACTTGTTATGATGTTGGCTTGGTTATTCTGTATTTTTGCTGGAATTTTCAGGGTTTTTTTAATTGCCCAGACTGAATTCCACTGCCAATTCAAGTCTCACCCAATAAGCCAATGCTTTCAATTCGGCTTTATTATAATATAGATTAATGATGAGAGAAAGAATAAGGAAAGAGAAAGGAAGGTGTTGGTTGAGGTATCTCATGTCATTATATGGCCACAAACAATGTGGTTGCAGATGTGACCACCTAGGCCACACACAGCTGTGTAAGGTGGCACGGCACATCACAGCCTTTCACGCTGTCACCCGGGAGGGGGTGACATGTGTACCCAGGTGCTGACACCCACAATGCTGGTCCAACAGCCACAGGAGTGAACCTGAAGGACATGAGCCCTGGACTTAAAGACACACAGACTGAAATCTGGATTCTTATCTCCTGCCATCTCTGGTGTGACCTGGGCAAGACAAATTGGTCCCGTGGATTACAGGTAAGGGTGGGGAGTACCCAGAATGGAACAACTTCTCAATTAAAAACCGTTATTATATTAACTATTATGTTATTAATGAGTCAACTGAGACGTTCTCTAAGCTGTTCAGACACCTGTGGCCTCAGGAATAACTACGGCACAGGCTCTGAGACAGAGGAGCATGGGGACCGAGCTAATTTGTTACCTCAGTAAGGCTTAGTGACTCTCTTCCTCTCTTCCTCCCTCTCTCTCTCTCTCTCTCTCTCTCTCTCTGTGTGTGTGTGTGTGTGTGTGTGTGTGTGTGTGTGTATCTGTCTGTCTGTCTACTTCTCTCTCCTTTCTGCCTGTCTCTTGCTGCCTATGTCTCCTATGTCTCCCTCTCTATCTCTGTATCTCTCCTTTCTCTCTCTCTCTCTCTCTCTCTCTCTCTCAATCTGTGTGTGTGTCCCTCCATCTGTGTGTGCGTCTTTCTCTCTGTCTTCCCCATCTTTCTCTCTCTCTCTCTCCCTCCCTCTCTCTCTCCCTCTCTCTCTCTGGTGTCTTTCTCTCTCTCCTTCGGTCTCTGTCTCTCCACTTGTACCCCCCAATATCACAAGTCTGGGCCAGATAAGTAGGATGTAGTCTAGGAGTAAAGCCAGCAGGCAATGGAGAGAGGCTCCACCTGTGTGAGATCTTGGCAGGAACAAGGCTCTCCCCAGGTGAGCTAAACAATTCTGAGATCCTGGAAAATTCCACCATAAAAAAAAAAAAACTGTAGCTCTTATCTTTGCACTGGGGCATAAATGAGAAGCCTTTGCCCTGTATGTCTTTTTTTATCTCGTGTGCTGCCTCAACTGTCCCCACCTATCTCATTTATTCTAGAACTCGAGTCTCCACTTCGACTTAAAGCCCAGCGTCAATGCATTGAACATTCTTACCTCCATAGGCCATTGCTCTGGGGACATGCTGGACAAGGAGGGTAGTTGTAGCCGGGGGTGTCGGTGCAGCCCATGTCATGGCTGTATGGAATTCCAAAGTAATAATCAAAACCTAGAAGAGGGGCAATGAGTTAGCACCCCCCACTCTCTGCTTCTCAGCATGCCTGCCCCTCTTACACTCACGACGAAATTTAATTTCCTGCGATTTAATATTGCAGCGCTCTAGCGTGTGTAATTAAAAGAGGATTTGATTAATATCCCTTTGAAGTACGCAAAGAAAATCACTTTGCCGGGTTCTGGCTGTAAGACTAGCTTTGTGGCATGTCCTGTGGCGTGAGTTAACCCAGACTGGGAGGAAGTATCAGGAACCGTTGGTCATCTAGCACCCTCCATGGTCGTGATACATGCGGTTAAGAAGAAGAGACCGACAGAGTCACTGCATGCATGATAGCTTAAGGGATCAAAAGTCTGTCCTTGGGAAGCTTTCTCTGTGGGGCCGGTGAGATGGCTCAGCAGGTAAAGGTGCTTGCCAACAAACCTAAGGATGTAAGCTCCAATCTCCGGAACTAAATGATAGAAGGAGAGAACTAAGTCCCAAGAGTCGTCTGTTGTGGAATATGTGTTTAACAATGTAAAGACGGGTTATATTTGTTGCTGCCACATTGGTTTAATGAGGCAAAGATGTGTTGCTCTGCCTGCCTAAGGCACATGATTGGTCTGATAAAAAGCTGAATGGCTAATATCTAGGCAGTAGAGGGATATGAGGGGCTGGTGGACAGAGAGAATAAGTAGGAGGAAGAAAGAGAGGAGGAGAGAGAATGAGGGAGAAAGAGAGGGAAACACCCAGGGCCAGGCACCAGCCAGCCAGACACAGAGTAGGCCACATAGAATGAAAGAAAGGAAAAGAGCCCTGGGGCAAAGCATAGATAAGAAGAAACAGGTTAATTTAAGTTATGAGAGTTAGTGGGACAAGCATAAGGTAAGGCTGAGCATTCGTAATGAATACGAAGTCTCCATGTCATGATTTGGGAGCTGGTTGGTAGCCCAAAAGAAAGCCTGGTATAGTTCTCCTCTGACCTCTACATGCATGCCATAGCACACATGTATGTATACACACACAAAATTAAAGTAAATACATAGTTTATAACACAGAAAATAAGACAAGGAGTCTAAGCCAGCCAGGAATCTAACTGTTGGGAGGTAGAATGGAACGGAGGAAGTAAGAGCGTGAATGTCATAACCCAAATTCTTTGTACGGAAGTTTTTCTGGCACTGTCCCTCAGTCTTTCTCTTCTACAGCTCAAGCTGTTAGCTGGGCCTGACAAACAGGGTGGGTCGGTGGCCTCTTCAGCCCCAGCAAGTGCCTCTTGCCTGCTCTGTCTGCGTTTCCGGTCCCATTTCTCATGTGACTCATGCTCTGGAACCCCAGCAGCTTTGCCTGCTCTGTAGCTCTTACCAAGGAAGCTAGACAGAAACTAGCTATGCCCAGCAGAGCTCTAGTGCAGTCTTCCATAAAATGGCCCTCTCCTCACCACTTCCTGCTAGCCCCTTCCTCTTTCTTTCTCAAAGCCCAATCACAGCCTTCAGACTCTCAGCCAGCATGAATGACAAGGTCTTCCTCTTCGGTACTGTACTCCTTAAGTTGGAACATTGATCCCTCATCTACCAGCATGTGGTTTACATCCTAGTGAGCTTTAACTATCAATTGACAGAGCTTAGAGTGACCTGAGAAGTCGGGGGATCTCAACTCAAAGACCTCCCAGATCCAACTGGCTTGTGAGCATGTCACTGAGCCACTGCCTTGTTTGTTCATTGATGTTGGAAGACCCAGCCCACTGTGGGCAGCACCATTCCCTAGGCAAGGTCATTCCGAGCTACCGAAGAAAGCTAACTAAACAAAGTTCTGAGAGCAAGCCAGCAAGCAGCACTCCTCTGTAGTTTCTGCTTCAGTGATGAACTATGACCTGGAAGTATAAGCCAAATAAACCCTTTTCTCCCTCGTTTCCCATCTTGTGGTCAATATGAGTAACTATTTCAGCGTTTGTTGGCAAGGAGTCTCCACGATGGCTTCTGAACTCTGTCACTATAGCACAAAACACCCTTGGCAATATGCACAGTGATGAAGACTGTTTCCGATAAAACAGCATTTACAGAAACAGGGTGTTGGATTTGGCCCATGCTGTATACCAGCTCCTAGTTTAGATATCAGCTGCCCTCAGACCCCGGAGTTAGGCAGAAGCCTCAGTGTTTACAGGAGCCCTAGTCTCTAACCAAGAGTAGCAGGGGGAACATGAATGATGGCAATGTGTGATGTTTGATGTGATCCATGATGGATTTGGAAGGGAAAACAGGGGTTTTTGGGAGCCGGGATAGTGTACGTGGGCAGAGAACAAAAGCAGGGAGGGACAGAAGGGAGCAGCTAAGAGACCCCATATGTCCAAGCAAGGAGGCACTATTTGGTGCAAAGTCAGCAAATAGGGAGGAGATCTCTTTCTTCCCACTTCTGACTCCTGGGTCAGACTCACAAACCCATCAGGGACCCTCTTCTTCTAAGCTGGGCACAGTCTCGGTATGCCTCTCTGCCCAGGACTCCAGGAACAGTGCTTAAGATACCACCAATGGATCTAACCCAACCCCTCACTCGTGGAGCGAGACCTACTTTCTGGAATAAGGTTTTGTAGTGGACAGGCCCGGTGTTCCTTTCCTCCATCAGCCATTTTTTTTTAAAGGCACAGCTTTATCTTCTGCCCTCTGTGCCCCTTTAAAGAAAATCCTTCAGGCATAATGCAACCCTTTGTACGGTTAGGGACAGACAATGGGGCAAGGTGAGGGAGAAGCTTGCAAAAACAATCAGGGATTAATCGCTAAAGGAAAAGACCACCTGTTTGTGTACAAAGTGGTTGGTGAAGACAGACAGACACATGTCGGGCTGAGGGCCACATGTGCTGACATGGTACACGGCTTCTAAGGGACAGTCTGCGGCTTCCCACAAGCAAAAGAAAAGGCTAGGGAAAGGACAGAGGCAGAAACGACAAACTGGAAGGAACACCCATATTTTGGCAAATCTGATATTCAGAGAGTGTCACCGAGGGATTAGAGAATCCACTTTGATAGCCTGGTCTTGACCTTCTTCTCCAAGGGTGACAGATGTGAGGATGCGGACAGCCGCAGGAGGGGGCCAGGAGGTGGCCAGGAGGCGGCTTCCTCTATCTGGGTCTGTGACACATTCATGCTCCAGCAAACCACCAGACCATTTTGTTTTTACTTCTTTCTACCTGTGCTGTCAGGAATTCACAGAAAATTCCCTACGGTGCAAAGAACTGGGAGATGGAAGGAAATGGATGGTCTACAGTGGGCAGGTCAGACAGACAAGGTAGGGGACGAGAGAAGAGTCTAGAGAGATGTGAGGATGGGGGCATTGGCACCCTGCATGTACCAATGGGACTTTTGAAGCAAAGATGTCCTAACATAGTATATCTCCAGGGATACAATGACTTCAAATGCTCATAGAGCTTTTACACAGGGATCCTTGTTCTCTGGCTCCCAGGGAACAAACTCCAAAAGAATTCTTACCGCGGAAATTGGGGTGATAAGAACCGTGGTGCCCAAGATGCCACTTGCCTGCGGAAAGAGAAAGAGAGACATTCAGATGGGGCTCTGCAGGAACATGTAGACTCTCCAAGAAGCTGATCACATACTCAGTTCCCATCGTTTCACACTTCAGGGAGGACGGGAGAACCAGCCAGTGCTGTGTGCTTGCCGAGCTTTGCTCTCTAGGACCCCAAGAGATCCTACAGGGAGACAGGAGACAAGCAAGGACCAGACGACTCAGGAGCCTGTGAGAAAGATGAGCTGGGGATGGTCTCTCTTTCCAGCACCCCAGTGATGCTGCCCAGCTGAGCCCCTTCCTTTGGGAGCACAAGGCTTGTGGAGGATCCTGCAATGATGCAGGTCCCCACCCTGCCTGACTTCAGCATCTTCGTCTCTGGGTAATGTCGTCAGCGGTGTGCACAGGCCAGGGGAGAGGTCACTTCCCCCAGTAGCTCCAGCGCCGAGACACCCGCCGGGCAGCAAATGAGAAACTCAACCACCTGCAGATCTGGCTCCACCAGCACTCGTTCTGCAGGGATAATTGGGAAGAGCGCTGACGATGTGAGAACCTCTGATCTCGTTTGCTCCGAGGACCGGATCCTGGGAAACCACTGCCAAGGCCAGCGACGTACAATCAATCCAAAAATCTAAACTGTGGCAACCTTTGACAACAGAAAGGAGGGAAGCCAGCAAGAAGAAGACACAGGAGTGTGACTAAGTAAACTATTCGATGTGGCCTTAATAAAACACAACCTGAATCAGTCCATTATCCCCCTTCCTGCAACTGCAAAATCTTCTGTTTACTCAGGACAGAGTCTTACTATGTAGCTCAGGTTGGCCTCAGATTCAGGATCTCTTCTCTCAGCCTCCTGAGAGCTAGGCCATATACCACCAGGCCCAGCTCTATTCTGTGGATCTGAAAAACAAGTTTTGCTTTTTTTTTTTTTTCAAGGCAGGGTTTTGGTTTTTTGTTGTTGTTTTTTGTTTGTTTGTTTGGAATTTTTTGGTTTTGGTTTTTTATTTGTTTGTTTGTGGGTTGGGTTTTTTTTTTTTTTTGGTAGCCTTGGCTGTCCTGGAACTAGCTCTGTAGACCAGGCTGGTCTTGAACTCACAAAGATCTGCCTGCCTCTGTTGGGATTAGATATGTGCCACCACCACCCAGCTGAAAAGCAAATTTTTTAAGGAAACAATTAAGGACGAGTGTGATGGTGTACACCTTTACTACTAGCATTGGAAAGGCAGGGGCACGTGAATCTTTATGAGTTCTAGGTCAGCCTGGTCTATAGAGTGAGTTCAAGGCCAGCCAGGACTGAATCGTGAGACCCCGTGTTAAAAAAAAAAAAAAAGAGAAGAAGGAGGAGGAGAAGGAAACAATTGAAGGTAGCCTGGCCTGGGGACACATGCCTGTGCTTACAGTGGGTCAATTTAGGAAATATAGAAGTTCAAAGTTAGGGTACACAGCAAGTCTCTGTCTGAAAAAATAAAATTATGATTAAATATAAAATAATATGAAGAGGGAAGGGGTAAAAACACATGAACACGGACGAAGACCCAAAGCGGTATTGAGCACTGTGAACAGACCCCAGAGCCCTTCGGTGGGTTTCATTCATAAGCAAGTATGAGTCTTCTCCAGGGTTCACAAAAGGATATGGGAGCAGGGAAGTAAATATCTTAATTAAGGGAGCCATTTTAGGGTTTGCAAGAGACTTGACTCTAGAGGGGTTCCCAGGTTCAAGAAGAGATCCCCAGATTGTTCCTTGGGCAGCAGAGGAGAGGAAACCTGAACTGGCCTTGTCCCATAGCCACACTGATGAATATCTTGCATATCACCATAGAACCTTCTTCTGGCGATGGATGGAGATAGAGACAGAGACCCACACTGGAGCACTGGACTGAGCTCCCAAGGTCCAAATGAGGAGCAGAAGGAGGGAGAACATGAGCAAGGAAGTCAGGACCACGAGGGGTGCGGCCACCCACTGAGACGGTGGGACTGATCTAATGGGAACTCACCAAGGCCAGCTGGACTGGGAGTGATGGAGCATGTGATCAAACTGGACCCTCTGAATGTGGCTGACAATGAAGGCTGACTGAGAAGCCAAGGACAAAGGCACTGGGTTTTGATTCTGCTGCATGGATGCTCACCTTTATAGACCTGGATAGAGGGGGAAGGACCTTGGACTTCCCATGGGGCAGGGAACCCTGACTGTTCTTAGGACTAGAGAGGGAGGGGGAGGTGGGGAAGGGGAGGGAAAAGGGAGGCGGGGAGGAGGTGGAAATTTTTAATAAATAAATAAATAAACAAAAGGTGCAGTCTGGAGTGAGGGAAGGGGGTGGGGGTGGAGAAGTTACACAGACACCTGTGATCAATTGCTTACTTGGTGTTTAAAGGCAAAAATGAACCATAGTACCAAAGCAGACAGAGAAGAGCCCAGCCCCCTGCTTTGTAGAAGGCTCTAGCGTCAGTCCAGAGACCAAACCGCCTGGCTCCAGGGATTAAATGGATGTATCTAATAGGTCTCTCTAACAGGCAACCCCCAGGGGGAGCTTCATGCACCCTCTTGGTACTGATGCCCGCATAATTATACCTCAGGGGAGGAGCGGGAAGGAGCATCTTAGTTAGGGTTTCTATTGCTGTAATGAAACCCCACGACCAAAAGCAACTTGGGGAGGAAAGTGTTGGTTTGTTTGGCACTTCCACGTCACTGTTTGTCACCGAAGGAAGTCGGGACGGGAAATCAAACCTGGAAGCAGGAGATGGTGCAGAGGAAGTGCTGTCTACTGGCTTACTCCTCATGGCTTGCTCATTCTGCTTTCTTATAGAACCCAGGACCATCAGCCCAGGGGTGGCCCCACCCACAATGGGCTGGGCCCTCCCCCCATCAATCACTAATTAAGAAAATTCCCTGCAGCTGGATCTAAGGAAAGCATTTTTCTCCGTTGAGGTTCCCTCCTTTCCGATGACTTTAGTTTGTGTCAGGTTGACCTAAAACTAGCCACACAGGAAGCTAAAAAGAGAAAATAATTTTTACTGGTCTCTTCTTCCGCTTCTCCCTCTGAGACAACAAATGTCATCCTCCAGTTCGGGTGCCTATATAAGAACGCAAAGCCTTTGAACTCAGAGTGGGGAAGGCAACACCAGAGATGCCCGTCCTTGGTCTGCGTAGAGCAATCTCCTCCAAGCTAACCCAGAAGGCTCCAGAGACCAGAGTCTCACCCATGAGGACCCTCTCTGCCACGTGTCTGCTGGCACAGCCTCCCTTGCCATTTCACTATGGCAGAGAGACACAGGAACCCCACTGGAACCAGAACTCTGAAAGTCAACAAACACAAACAGGCTAAGGAGGCTGCAGGAACTGCTGGGTGGTCTTGGGATCTGCAAGACAGGCAGGCAGAGAGGCCCCAGGATCTGGGGTCAGATCCTGTACAGACACAGACATGACCTGCCTGAGGCAGGAATGGGAAGCAGATGTCCTCAGGATTAAGACACAGGTCTCTCGCTCTACAATAGGAGAATAATAATCCTGTGTAAATGAACGTATGCATCCCTAGGGCCAGAACATAGTCCACGCTGAGTAGAGGTGCCTTGACAATATGTACAAGGAGACAATGCCTGGAATTCCAGCACTCGGAGGCTGCAAACAGGACTATATGTTTGGGGCCAGCCTGGGCTACACAATGAGACCCAATTTCGGAAACAAACAAGGACAGAGATGCAGTTGGTAGAGCGTTTGCCTAACATACATGAAGCCCCGGGTGCCAGCCCCAGGACCACGGAAAACCGGACATGGGGGCACGTGCTTAAATTTTCAGCGCTCAGGAGGTGGGGACAGGAGGGTCAAAAGTTCAGTGTCACCCTCAGCTACGGAATGAGTTTGAGGTCACCTTGGAGTACGTGAGACTCTGTTTCAGAAAACAAAACAGAGAGGAGGGAAGGAAGGAAGCAAGAAGGGGAGGGAACAGCAGGGAACTGACTACTGTTTTCCGATCCTATATCCACATCTTCAGTTTCGCTTCTAATAAGATTTCTCAGGGTAGCAGGGTGGGGGCAGGACTAGGACTGTTTTCTACAGAGACAGCACCCAGTGAGTGCATTGTGCATCCTAGGTAGGTGCTGCACCACGGACAGCTCGAAGCTGTCAGTTTGTTCAAGATGATGCCCAGGTTAAGCCAACTCTGGATAGTACAATTTAAGCCCTGTACTTGGGAGGGAAGGATTCCTTTTTTCTTTTCTTCTTCTTCTTCTTTTTTTTTTTAGTGATTTATTTTTATTTTATGTGCATTGGTGTTTTGCTTACATATATGTCTATGTCAGGGCATAGGGTCCCCAAAACTGAAATAACAGACGATTGCAAGCTACCATGTGGGTGCTGGGAATTGAACCCGGGTCTTCCAGAAAGGCAGCCAGCGCTCTTAACCACTGAGCCATCTCTTCAGCCCTTGGAGGAGGTATTCTTATCTTAAACAAAAGATTCCATTTCTTGGTAAGAGTGGGTGGGTATATTGCGCCTGGGACCCATTCATTCTCTTCTCTTTCCCCTCCTTGAGCCTAATTACAATGGAGGACCCTGAAGCCGAGACGCTGTAGCCACACGCACACGAACAAAACCCACGCGCTCGGGATAGCAGAGAGTGTCCGGAAAAGCTCCCAATGGTATCTTTGAGCCTCTGACCTAATGGATGCAATCACTTACCACAAAGCTTATTGTCATGGGAGAAAAGAGCTCTATACATGTTTTCAGGCACTGCCGGACCTTCCCAGTTACGGACCGCTAGCTGAGAGCGTCCCTGCCATCCGTACCCAGCGAGTAACCAAGGAAAATGCAGAAGCGAGCAGCAGAGGCAGCCGCCATCCAGAGACTCTCAGATCTTGAAGCAACTATCTAGGAGACATTACCTATCATGGCAGTGACATAGCCAGCCCGCTGCAGCACCTCGGCCAAGGTGGTCTCGTTGAGTGGAAGCCCCCCGACAGAGGTGACGGCAAAGTTGTGCGTGACTCCATTGCGTAGACCCAGTCGGCCGGTGAGCAGGGAGGCTCGCGAAGGCGAGCAGGTGGAGGCAGCTGCGTGGAAGTCCACAAACCTGCAAGGAACGGTAGGCAGCTCAGGACTTGGCCAGCTACAGGAAGTCAGATGAGAAGGGATGGGGGACTCACTCGGGACTGGAATGATAGCGCTGAGAACAACTGTAAAAGCAACCTGATGGTGAGCAAGGAAAAGGAAGCCCGGGATGGAACCGAGTCCGAGGTTAACTCAGACTGGCAGGGCCAACGCTTTTTATTCACAGATCCCGTATGTCAAAGTCACTCACTTCAGAGAGTTTTTGAACCTCAAAATCAAGTTTTGAACCAGGTTAGAATCATTCATGGAGAGAAACAGACACACAGGAGAGACGACTCAGTGATTAGAAGTAGAGACTCCTCTTGCAGAGGACCAGAGTTCAGTTCCCAGCACCCATGTTGGGCAGCCTGTAATTCCAACACCAGGAGATCCAACACCCTCTTCTGGCTTCCATGGGCAATTACCTTCATGTGTGAATATGCCCACAAAGACACATAGACACAATTTAAAAAAAAAAAAGAAAGAAAGAAAGAAATAGACTTAGAAAAAATGTGAGTCACAGGGCTGGAAAGACAGCTCAGTCGGTAAAGCACTTGAAGCCTAAGTGTGAGCTCAGATTCCCAGAACCCATGTCAAAATCTAGCACAACAACTCACACCTATAACCTTCCAATTGTGAGGGAAGTGGAGACAGAAGAATTCCCTGAGCTTGATGGCCAGCCTTCCAGCTTTTCTGAAGAAGTGAGCCCCAGATTTGGTGAGAGATCCTGTTTCAAAACAGTAAATCGGGACCAAATTGATAGGCCGGTAGGTAAATGTGTTTGCCACCAAGCCTGATGATCTGAGTTCAGTCCTCAAGACCCACACTGGGGGCAGGACAGAAGTGAGTTCCCAAAGCCATCCTCTGATTTTTCACACGCACACCACGGCACAAGGGTGCCCACACACATACACAGAACACATGCAATAAAAAAACGATGTCTTAGTATGGTGGAGGGCAGTCCAGAAAGACACCTGGCATCTATTTATGGTCTCCAATGCACACATAACAGCACACACACATATGAACACATACACATGCAAACAGCAGAGAGAGAGACACACACAGAGAGAGAGACAGAGAGAGAGAGACAGACAGAGAGAGAGAGACAGAGACAGAGACAGAGAGAGAAGAGCCTGCCCCAAGGACACACATTCCTTGTCAAGGTCTCTGCCATCCTGTTTCAGCTCTGAGGCTCCTAGTGAGTGCCCTTTGACTTCTCTATTGAGTCCCATTCCTTTTGCTTTTCATATTTTTGTGGGTGATTCAACTGTGTGCAATGGCCCCTGAGTAACATGCTAAGAGCTGCCTGGCATCCATATGCACGAGAGCTGTGGTATGCCTTACAGAGATGAGCATGTTCCCCAAGCTGTTCAGGAATGAGTTACAGTGCAGTTGGCTGAGCCCAATGCTAATGACTCAGAAGTATGTATTAAATAAACACGGTGTCTTTAAACAGAATCGCACATAAAACAAGGTTATGAATTGACTGACTGATAAAAATGCTGCATCCAGGGGTCCACAAGAATGTTAGGCTGCATTTCCAGTCAGAATAAGGTTGTGGTATCTGCTGTTTGCCATGACCATGCTAACAGAAAAAAACGCCTAGCTCTATATGGTTGTGTACCCATGCCTGTGTTATATAGGGAATATGAAAGAATTCTAGGGCAAGTAAGATGGTTCAGAGGGTAAAGGTGCATGCCACCAAGACTGATGACTTGAGATCAATTCCAGAGACTCACATGGTGGAAAAGAGAATCAATTCCTACAAGTTGTCCTCTGACCTCTACAATTGGTGGGGCAGGCATATAACACTAACCCAAAATATGTACACAAGATAAATACAAAGTAATATAAACATGTTCTTTAAAAATTATAGGCATGGGAGATGGACGGTGGTGGTGCACGCCTTTAAACCCAGCACTGGAGGTCGTGGCAGGCAGATCTTCACGAGTTTGAGGCCAGCCTGGTCTACAGAGTGAGTTCTGGGACAACTAAAGCTGATCACAGAAAAACCATGCCTGGAGAAAAAAAGGAAGGAAGGAAGGAAGGAAGGAAGGAAGGAAGGAAGGAAGGAAGGAAGGAAGGAAGGAACGACAAAAGGAAGGAAGGAAGGAATTCTAGGCATGGTGCCATTGAAATTGCTCAATGGTTAAAGGTGCCTGCTGCCAAACCAAAAATCTGAGTTCTATTCCTAGGACCCACATGAAGGAAAGAAAGAACCAAGCCCCACAAGTCGTCCTGGGACCTCCACACTTGTGCCATTGTATATGTGTGTTCACTCCACACGTGAACAAAATACGAAAAGGGGGAAAAAATTCTAGGCATGTCCCCACCCTTACAGGAACATGCAACCTGGTTGGAAAACAAGACTGGGGCTGGAGAGATGACTCAGCAGTGAAAGGCACTTGCTGTTCCTGTAGGGGACTAGAGTTTGTTTCCCAGCACCCACATGGTGGTTCACAACCATCTGCAACTCCAGACCCAGAAGATCCAATGCCCTCCTCTGGCTTCTGAAGGCACCAAGCACACACATGATACACATGCACGCATGCAGGTAAAACACTCATACATATAAATAGATCTAAAAAGAAAAATAACATAAAGAAAGCAAGGGTGGGATGGCTTAAGGGACAGCTAATGTGGGATTCCCCTCTGTATGCTGTGAATACCATTGGTTAATGAAGAAACTGTCTTGAGCCCATGATAGGGGAGAATAGAGCTAGGTGAGGAAAACTAAACTGAATGCTGGGAGAAAGGAGGCAGAGTCAAGGAGAAGCCATGGAGCTGCCAGAGACAGACATCCTGAAAGTTTGCTGGTAAGCCACTACCATGTAGCAATACACAGATTAATAGAAATGGCTTAAATTAAGATGTAAAAGCTAGCCAATAAGTTAGTGCTAATAGGCCAAACAGTGATTTAATTAATACAGTTTCTGTGTGGTTATTTCAGGAGTCTGGGCGCCAGGAAACGAACAAGCAGCCTCCTAGTACAGAGAGCGTGGACGAAAGTACATTGTCTCCCCAAGCCCGGAGACAATAGGATGCAGACCAGCATGCTTCAGAACTGATGGGGACAAAGGACTTGATAAGGACCCAAGCTTCATTTAGACTCCATGGCATGGACAGGACCCAGACTGGAATCTAAAAGATGGAGCTGTCAGGGACACTTTGATAATGACAAGGGCAGGCATTCCACTGGAGGAAGAGTTGACGACTGAGTCTTAACTGTCAACTTGGTAGCATTCAGAACCACTTAGGAGACACACCTCTGTGTGTGTCTGTGAGAGAGCATTTCCAGAGACATTTAACTTCACAGTGAAGATCTAGCCCGACTGTGGATGGCACCATCCCGTGGACTGGGGGCCATGACAGAATTTACCTTGCTTTGCTTCCTACCTGTGAAGACAACATGACCAGCTGCCTCGTGTCCCTTCCGCCATGCCTTCCCTGCCATGATGGACTGTACCCTCAAACTGTGAGACAAAAGAAACCCTTCCTTCCTTCCTTACATCGCTGATATGAAAAGTAGGCCAAAAACCAGTCTTAAAAAATAAAATAAACAAGGTTTCTCATAACGGGGAGGAGAAATGGCCTGAGTAGAGGGCTGGGAACAAGATCCTTGGGGATATGGTGGTCTATGGATTGATTTCTGTACCATGTGAATGTCAGATCTGGGCAAAATGCAAAGTTAAGCTTCAAAGGAGAACCCAGTAGACCCGATAAGAAGAAACAAAAGAGAAGCAAACGAGTCTCACTAGACAACAAATTTCAAAGAAGAATATCCAGAAGGAAGAACCATTTCAGGCAACTTTAGCAGGTAGTGTTCAGGCTGTCCACCCCAATGGGATAAAAAAGTCTAAGAACAACAACCAAAAAGTATATTCTAAGGAAATCTTACACTTTACACAGTGGCTGTATTATTGGAGGGTTAGTACAGGGATTTTTTTGAGACAATTTCATGTGTATGAGAGAGAAATGTAAATAAGTAATTATATTAATGTTCCTAACAGGGAGCCAAGATTTTCACTGTCAGAAAATATAAGAGCTATACGATGTTAAGAAAAGCCTATAATACAAAAATTACCGGCAGCGTAATGATAGGGTTGAGGATACAGCTAGCACAGAGGCAAAGAGCTTGTCTAGAACTCTCGAGGCTCCCGGCTCAATGACAGCACCACAAGACAAACGTTTAGCTAGAAGGAAAATGTCATTATGGATTCACAATTCTATAAACAATCGATTTCCAACTGACGAACCAACTGACAGAAAGAAGTGCTGCTCTCCTCTGCCCCCCAAAACATCAAACCTACCTGCACCTAGTCTTTGTTTCCAGCACCGTCCCACATTAAAGGAATCATATCCCTTGGGAGAAATATCTAATTCCAGGTTTGAGATCATGTGGGCATCAGAAGAATAAGTATATGCTTGGGAGACATAGTTCATTGGTACAATGCTAAGCATGCACAACTCCTTTGGTTGGATCTCCATCAACACACACACACACACACACACACACACACACATATGCACGCAGGTACACACAGACGTACACCAAGTCATTTTTCACCACTGGAGGAGAACATGGTATCAATTCCACATCCTAAAAATTCATAATTAAAGGAAAATAAATTAAGCACATGCCTGGCCCTCTGGACTGATCCACAGCCTCGGCTAGGTGACAAGGGAGAGCACTCCTTTGCATCCGCTAGCTCACACCAAAGGCACAGTAGCCTTGGGAAATGACCAGGTCTACAGCGTCCTAAAAAATTGCTGGTGACCAATGGCCATAAGTGGTCACACTGTCACCCTCTGTCACCCTCCAGTCATTTATGAATTGGACAGAACTGGCAATTAGCTGTCTATAAAGGGATTAGGCTTAGTGCCGCTAAGTGTTTGCCCATGGCCTTTTATGCCTCCTGATGGGATGAGAGATGAAGTGTATAAAAGCGGGGATTCTGCCAAAAAACACTTCACCTGAAT